AGAACGATTTTTAAATGTTTCTTTTTTTTTTTGATAAAATAAATAATATTTTCGTATGGAACTAAAGAGCCGGGCAGCTTCACATCCAAAGAGCCGCGTGTGGCTCGCGAGCCGCAGGTTGCCGACCCCTGGTCTAAACCAACTCCAACCGACGGTGGCCTTTAGACCCGAATCAGGACAGCATCAGTTCACCTACTGTTAGCGAAACCCTTTACCAATTTGTCCAAAATAAAATAATTTTTTTTGAAAATTATAGCTAGTTAAAAAAATCTGCAAATGTTTATTTCTTAAAATTGATGTATTGAATAGGAAAATCGGGCAGCGTTATTTTTATATTTTTAAGAGTAAAAGAATTTGTACGTTGCCTAATGTATGACATTTTTTTTGAATTATTTATCGGTAAATTTTTTTATTTGGAGACTATACCGTATATGAACAGTTTTTAATCTGAGACTAATTGGAAATTTTCGCATTCGTGAAAGTGCCGTTCCGGCGTTAGAAGCATCTGTTAATTTATGAACGTCCTTGTAAAATTGACCTGGATTTTCAGCAATTAATTTATATTAGAAACATCATGCTTTCCATGCAAGCTCTGCTCACCATATCTAGTCCACTTAATAGTTCTGCCTTACTTACGGTTTATAGCGAAATGTTTCACTCCACAATTATATAGGTGTACACATGTATGCTACTGCTACTGTCTACCATTACATAGGAACATTAAATCGATAAAATACTGAGCGACTGGACGTGCACCTTCTTATATAAATTTTAATAAATAAATGACGTATTAGAGAATGAGATAATGCTTTATTTCGTGTTTTTGTTATAAAATGTTATTAGGTAACAAATAAATATGTGTTATTATAGACAAATGCCGAAATTATTTCGCGCAACGATTGACCAAACCTGTAGGTTTTGCTAACACCTTCAGTACTTACGTTTTTTACATTTAAATGTACTTTTCGGTTTCAGTTCTCTGTCAAAATGTCATTCCACAGACTATAATAATGACCGCCGGGTTTTAACCTGTCACGGCAAAAATGTAGATCATCAGGGAAGTTCCAAGTCGAAAAATTATCACTACAAAACTTATTGGATTCTAAGGAAGATGTGATTATTTGGATAATGCCTAGTTGCCTCCCATATACCTGCTTTTAATTATGGTTAAAATTTTCGGTATGTTGAATTCCCTCCTAATTATACATCAATAGCCTCCCAACGGCAACCAACCATTTTAAAATTAAATAAATAAATATTTCATAACTGATATGTGTTTTCTTTCTGAAATTATTTTATCTTTAAGTTACTGAAGTGCACTATAAATATATGTTTATTTTCGATAAATAAAATCGGTAAGTAGTCGT